TATAAAGTTATAAATATAGACCAATGTTATATAAAATTATAAATACAGACCAATGTTATATAAAGTTATAAATATAAATTATCCAAAAGCACCATGTTCTCTTTTACCTTCGTTCTTTTGCACTTGCTGTCCGTCTGTCTGGAATGCTCTTGCTCCAGCCACCTCGGCCTGCCGAATGCCAATTCATCTTCTAAGGTAAGCTCAGAAATTGCTACCTCTGGGAGGCCACACCTGATAACCTCTGCGGAAGTCGTTAGTGACGGTCGCCAGAGATTTCTGATTTTCTTTTGGGGAAAGTTTCACTACCTTCTTGCTTTGGCCAACTAAATGCAAGTAGAAATGACATTTTTCAGGCAGAAGCGTTAAGAGCCAGTGCCTTCACGGCCGCCACATCTGCTTCCTACGGCTGTGACGTCTCTGAGAGCAGGTGCCCAGCTGAAGCCTCCAGGAGTCCATGTCTCTGACAGACTACAAAGCACTGGGCCCCTGTTGACCAAATGGGACATGAAGCTTGAGTTAGAAATAAATGTGTATTAAGCCACTGAGATTTGGTTCATCCTGGCTGACATTCCTCCACCTCTCCAGGCTAATTTAAATGCACCTATTTTAAATCTATTCCCATGGGATTCGATTTTTACCTCAATCAAGCAGTACTTACCAACTGAATTCTAATGGCTTGCTTAAATGTCTGTCTCCACTACTAAACTGTAAGTTGACAGGTTTTTTTAATGAAGTTTATTGGGGTAACATTGGTTAATACAATTATATAATTTTCAAGTGTACATTATAATTTGACATCTGTATGGTCTATTGTATGTTTACCACTCAACGTCCAGTTTCCTTCAGCTAGTTGACTATGTTTTAAGCAAATTTTATGTTTAGTGCTTGTATAGAACCTGACACAAAGCAGGCACTCACGCAGTGCATTGATTCCCTTTGTTCTAATGATAATTGGAAGAAGAAAAGAAGTTTGCTTCAAATAAGTGCTTAATGCTCTCATGGAACTTCTTGAGATTCTTCTCTGTTCCGGTTGGGCGACAGAACACAGAAAAATGGAACGCCCTGTTCTTAAAACAGGTAGAGAGATAGAAATATTTGGAGTCATGACAGAAGTTCAAGTTCAGGGAGGGCCCAAGGACCAGCAAAGAACTATGAGGCTAGAGAGTGTTATATGATTTCGTGTTCTGGCTTGCTCCTTGCTTAGGCCAAATCGAAACAAAACATTTCTGAAAACCAATGATGATAGACTCTTTGGAGTTTTTCAAAGGAAATAATTCCAGGTGACGCACATGTAAGATTTAAATCCGGAAGAAAAGATTAAATGGATGTGTGCATGTTTGAATTTCAAGTAAGTAGGTACTATTATGTGACCCCACATGGAGACAGAGGGTCAACCTGGAGCTATTAGAAGGGAGTGTTTTCAATGGTGTGGAGGGGTGGGAATAGAACAAACAGGATCGTATTCGTTTCGTGTTAAGAAGTCCGAGGAAAATTAGAATAGGTCTGTACTTTACCTTCTGTGGTGTAATATTTCCAATTGTATTAACAGATTTTTTTTTATCTGTGACTGAAACTCTATCTGCTGCCTTCCAAAGTTATGTTTCACATGGGAAGAGAAGTAGAAGAAAGTAGAGAATTCAGGGTGGCTGTTGGGCCTTTTGGACAGGACTATGCCTTATCGAGGATTTGGGGGGTTACCCCATAAAGTGGAATCAGTTGGGATAAGCCAGATCTGATTAAGTAGAAATCAGATCTGGCTTATCCCAACAACTTACATTTACAAGAATTGTTCTGGAATTCATCAGGATTGGCACCTCTTATTCTCTGCTTCCAATTCTCGAGTTACCGTGTGGTGGTAGGCAGATCTCTGCGTGCCGGTCAGAGATAAAGGTTTCAGTCATCATGCCACAGGAGTTAGAAAAATATAGGCTAATAAAGCGGGATGCTAGTAAACCTGAAAGTGGGGTCACCAGAGGGATGGAGACAAGAGCCAGTCAACCCAGGGAGTGACTCTAGGTCGCTGCTGTCAGTAACAATAAAAGCCTTATTTTGCATCATCTCTTCTGAATCCTCTCACCAAGGAAGGGGCATTCTATAAGTATTGTGAATAAATGTAAAACGGTTTATCTGCAAATCTGAGAGCAGGCTGTTTTCTGTACATCATAGAGCTCACCCAATTTTCCTTTTTTTCACCTCCTATTCCCTTACTATTTTATATAGGGTTAATTGGGGGTCATTGACATTATGTCTTAGTCTGTCGTTTTCAAAATATCGATCTGAATGTTACCCAGAGATCCCAAACTTAGAAGTGGGTGCAGTAGTTGATGACACTTTAAGTTGCATCTGTTTGGGACAAAAGAGTGTGGATGTGTTTTTGTTTGTGCAGGGATGGTTGCATTATGTTAGGTGGGAGCCTTTTATGGTGATGGCTATCATAATAATAATGTGGAACTGCACTTATAGAAAGGTATATGTCTATGGTAGGTATGTGTCCTCTGCATCTTTGAAACATCTTATAGGCTGGGAATTTCTCATGTTAAAAGTCCCACCTCCCTAAGGCAGAAGACTGTGAGTTGACTCCCGATATCCATGTCCCCACCTTCGGTTGTCACGGAATCTTCATTTCTGTTGGGCACGTCACCTCCCAGGCAGAAGGTGTCATTTCCAATATGATTAAGTTCTAGCCAATGAGATGTAAACAGAAGTGTTATATGTTACTTCCAAGAAGTTTCCTTAAGAGGAAAGGAACAACCCCCATTCCTCTTTCTGCCTCCTGCTGTTTGGAACACAGATGTGATGGGGCTCTGGCAGCCATTCCAAACTCTGAGGTGACACAGAGAATGGAGACCACATGCTGAGGATGACGGAGCATAAAGAAGCTGAGTCATTAAGGCTACTGTGAAGCCAACATTGCCAGTTCTTAACTGTCTACCTCCAGATCGCTCCATACATGAGAAATAAGCTCCTGTCCTGTTTAAAACACTGTTAATATTTAGTCATATGCAGGAGAACTGAATCCTAATTTACTTGCTCTGCCAGCCTCCCTCATGGCTGTGGTGCGGGCCCGGGATCCAGGCTCTGTGAATTAATTGCACACAATAGTGCAAGACTTTGGTCCTGAAGAAGCAGGTCCTGAGAATTCGTTTCTGGTGAGGATAGCGGTGGAGGGATCAGGATTCTGGAGGCCAGTGGTAGTGAGACACTTGTATCCAGCGCCACATTTCAGGGTTTGTAGAAGCCTTAGTGTCTGTGCTCAGCAAAAGCTGTGGAGTGTTCTCTAGAACAAGCCCACATGTAGGGCTACCTCTTGGCTACCCAGCCTCCAAGGCCAACTCCCTGGCCCCCCCAGGGATTGCGTGTGCTACCTGACACCTCTAATAAATCATTTTCCTGTTTTAGCAATAAGGAACCACAGATGATATTCCACTCCCCTTAGGTCTCTCTTAAAATAAATATCTTTAATAACTTAGACTTTCTCTGACCTGCTTTAAACCACTAACCTAACCCCAATGTTTCTTCTGGACTGGGATTTAACATTTATTTTCACTTTTCTGGGTGTGGGAGTGACTGTAGTTGGCCACCAAAATCCATGCTTCTTTTGAAATATGGGCCTCCCCTTGTGACTAGTACAGACATACAACTGAACTTTATGAATGGAATGTGACTGATTGTGACACAAGCCACTTCTGCCTCACGAGCACAGTGAGAAGTTGCTTCCTTGGGTTTTCTCTATTTTCCTTCCCATACTCATGATATGGCCTCAGCCAAGGAGATGAGGAAGCACCCTGGGGGATGGCAGAGCCACAAGGCAGAAGGAGCCTGAGTCTCTAAGCAACTTCACGGAGCAGGGCTGCCTCCACAGCCTGGACTATTCCCTAGAGAACATGAAAAAAACACCCTTCCATTTTCTACAAGCTGCTGTTTTGGGGTCTCTATCGGCTTTACCTTTCTCTGCAATACAGTGAGAATGGAAGAGTACGAGGCAGGGAACTTGTAACTAACCATAGGTGATCACAGACCCACGCAGAAGATACCAACCCAGGCGGCCATGTTCTCAGGGTGTGTCTTGTGTTCCCATTTCAGAAGAAGATACACACTGAACGGTGTGGCCACACTGTCACAAGGCACAAAGAATCCCAAGTCTTGGAACCTCTGCTAGATCTAGCCACAATCAAGTCACCTTTTTTGCTTGCCTCAGTTTGAAGTACATACCTTTTACTATTTCTACCCTAGACTTTAAAAAGTATGTTTTTACCTCTTATAATTTTGACCACAATGTTTAGGGGAAAAATTGTTTTCATTTGCAACTGTCTTCGTTATCCCACCTTCCTCCTTTCTAAGAATTGAGTTATTTTACACACACACACACACACACACACACACACACACACACACACACAATCACCTATCACATTCAAATCCGATATTCAGGCTTTAATATAGCTATGACCCTTTAATGTGAGCTTCTAGATCAGGAGTTGGGAAACTGCAGCCATCTGTTTTTGAAGTTCTGTTGGAATAACCCTCACCCATTCATTTATGTTTGTCATGGCTGCTTTCACACCACAGTGATAGGCGAGTAGTTATGAAAGAGACCACACAGCCAAAAATATTTACTATCTAGTTCTCTAAAAAAAACATTTGCTAACATCTGTTCTATATCTGTTGCACTCTGATTTAATATTTTTATTCTCTCTGCTTATCTTTTATCATAATGTCATTCCTAATTACTATACTTTCTTTTTTCTCTTATCTTTCTGTCTTAAAGTTTAATAAGCTTTTGGCTTAACTAACTCCTATTAACTTTTACTAACTAACTCTAATAAACTTTTATTAGCTTTGCTAAACTTTCATCTTCCCAGTTTTATTTGTTTAATAAATCATTTATTTCTTAATAATCTTTAACATTATTCCTATGCTCCTTTTTTATTTAATAACTGCAAGAAGTGCACTTGCAGCCAGTGCCCACCTGGACAAATGCCCTACAAGACTCTTTCTCCAAATCTTCTGCTATGAGCTAAGTCTCAAGGCTGTGCCTGAACAAGGCCCAGTGCCACTATCCAGACACTGTTTGAAGAACCTGCTCATCAGATGGCTATCTGATGAATCCTGCACCTTTGCAGGTGTCATAACATAAAATGCCCACACCACCTCCTGACCACACAGACTGGTTACCCTTTGGCCCAACACCCTAGGCCTGACGGAGGCAGGTTAAGTTATTCAAAGAGCAGTTAGAATCTATTAAATACTCATTCTCCCAGCCCTGCACATTTAAAATCTCCTGAGCTTTATTCATGATCTCCAATAGCTGTGATAGAATTTGCCTGAGTGTCACCTAGAGATAGTTCAAATTTCCAGAGTTTATCGACTAAGGGTTTGGGCGGTAAAATGGTGAGACATGGATTCTCTCCTCGATGAATTTGCGATCGAGCTGGAGCGGGAAATAAGTGAAGCGACAACTGTGCTACGTGGGACAGGCTGACTGAGATTCGCTGAGAGCACAGGGAAAGGGCATCCACGGCAGGAAATGCTGCTGAGAAAGGGTGACAGCGGGTGGTCTCTCAGGCCCCACTCTCAGTGGACCGCCTTCCCTACCACCCGAGAGCCCCCTGAGCCATGTCAGAGTGCTGCGAGCTCAAAGGCGGGGTCCCATAAATGCTGGATTAAGGAGGGACCAAGGCCCCCTCTTCTCTAGAGACCCCATACTGAGGCACAAGGTACATGAAGGAGAGACAGAAATGAGCAAGAAACTTTATGATCAACATGTCCCCTTCCCTGCCACCAAATACACAGACACCACCACCGCTACCACCACCACCATTACCCAGACCCTGCGTACTACGGAAGAGAAAATGGACACCCCAATATCCAACACACTTTACCTGAGTCCAGTATCCAAAACGGAAGAAAAAGATAAGTAGGTGTGATTACGACTTTACTGGAGATCAGGGAGGACTGGTCAAGGACCATGATGGGGAAGTAGGGCCTGCACACCAGGCCAGTGTTGGTCTTCGGGACAGTGCTAGGAGCCCAGGGCTGAGCTCTACAGGCCAGGGGTCCAGTCAGACTCCTCAAAGCAGAGCAACCACTGAATGGAAGGTTGGCCTGGTTGGCTTCATTGCCAGAGGGTTAACGTGGTGGGGTAGGAATACCACTGAAGAAAGGTGAGAAACTGCGCTTTAGAGGGCCCAGATGGAAAGAGGGTTGGGAGGACAGTCAGGGGGCCCAAAATAAATCTGGTGAGTGAAGAGAAGGGAGTGAGAAGAAGAAGGAAGCAAGACAGCTGCTTCTAGGGGTACAAGGAGCTCCATCTGCTCTCCAGGCTCGTAGTACTTCCTCCTCCTAAATCATGGCTGTACAAGGACCTATTTGTTGCCCCACACTGCAATCTTAAGAAACAGAGGACCTGGGAAGAAATCGCTGGACTGCATGTAGGCAGAGATCTTCCTCTGGCTCTGAAGGAAGAAAAAGAAGTCTCGACCTCAGGGTATCCTGCCCCACTGGGGATCTCGCAAGGATATGTAGGCAATGCACTTGGGAGCCAAGTCCAAATCACAAAAAGTACAAGACTCCTCTCCCTTTACCCCCAGACATCTCTCTGGGGACGTCTTTGGGGAAATGCCTGCTCAGTACGGGGCCCTTTTCTCACTGGGTTGTATTTTTGGATATATCATTTATTGTGCAGGAAGGACAATGTCAGAATGGAGACCTCACTCAGAAAACTGGGGTGCTGTAGAGATTTCAGATCCTGGGTAACCTATAATTGGAGAAAGTATTAGGGCAAATGAGGACCTGAGCACAGAGAGTAGGAAAGAAAAGAGGAAGAAAAAAAAGACTGTAGGTTCTGGGGGTTCAAGGTATCTGGCTGTGTGGACTCAGATAAACAAGCACAAAACGGGGTGCTCGCTCCCTTCTCCGGGCCCTATTTGCCCATGGCCATCTTTGTATACAAAGGAGTTGAGAAGAAGCGACTGGACTTCATGTAGGCAGAGATCTTCTCCAGGCCCTGACGGCAGAAAAAGAAGGCCAGACCTCAGGGCCTGCTGCCCCACGGGGGATCCCGCAGCCCCACTCCAGGCACACGAGTCCAAGACCCTGGTGTGTACCCTAATCGATTAGCTGTATGGTCTACAAGGTGAAGCTAAGTCCAGAACCAGCCCCTTTGCAGAGGCCGAGAATCAAGGTGCAGCCCCAGATGTCCTGCCAGCCAGCGAGATGTCTCTGACACTGACAGAGTGACCTAGAGCATGGTGGTCACAGACAGAACGCGAGGGAGTGGAGCAGGGCTGTCCTCTGAGGGGCCAGAAGCCAGTACTGCTGCAGAAGGTAGCCAGAGGGTGGAGGGTTGGCCGGTAGGACCCTGGAGGACACTCACAGGACCAGCCAGTATGGGCCCTGTTGACCCTCTGCTGTCAAGGTCCACGATTCCAGCCCTGACCCTGGCTCCTGACTTATGTGTGCTTTGGCATATGAGAGGGTGGCTCACATGGCCTTTGATGTCCCTCTGTGACCTGTGACCTGTGGTACAGCCACAAGAACATGTCTTACCTGCCAGCTTTTCTCTTTGAAGGCACAGGACTGTTTCGAAACTCGGGAACTACGGACGACATAGTGTGGCCTGTGGTTACTTTCCTTTTTTAAAGGACATTACAAAGTGTAGCAGATATGTGAAAACAGATGAGTGGAACTTTAAAAAACAAACAGCCTTACAGAGTGAGAGGGCGACTCCAGCTAGCGGGAAGGAGACCAGAGCACCCACTCCCCTGGTGACCAGAGAGCAGAAAGAGCTGTCTGCAGAGAGGACCCAGAAACCGTTTCCCACGGGGGCTGTTGCTGCAACCGCCAAGCTGCAGATCAGGGACGAGATGATGAGAGCTGGGCAGAGAACAAGGGCAGGTGGGCTGGGCAGCCTGGTCCTTGTGGTACACGGACAGTATCACTCTGGCTGTCAGACAGCGGGACCCCTCATGCTCCTGCACATCGTTCCACAGCCAGCATCACTGAGCCCTGTCTCTCCTATGGGGAGAGACAGACAACAAAGAACGTGCAAATAATATAATACGTGAGACAACGTACAAGTAGACACTGCACGTAGATAAAGTGCCCAAATCTTGAAGTGTGCGATTCCACTGCTTTTTACATAGGAATGCTCTCGTGGAATCACCTCCCAGATCAGAACAGAGAACATTTCCAGCACAGCACAAGGTCCCTTCAGTGAGCAACCCCACACACAAAGTCACCATGTGGCTGACCTCGATCACCTAAGATTCTTTTTGCCTGTGGACTTTCGTGTAAATAGAATTGCATGGTCTGTACTCTGTGTCTGCATCCTTCTGGCCAACACCGTGTCCATAAGTCATGTTGTTGCACATAGTGGTAGCACATTTTTTGTTGATGTAGTATATTCACTGTAGTATAGTATTCCACCATATGAATAATGAAATCACATTTATAAACCACACTTTGTCTGCCCACTCTTTCATTGGTAGACATTTGGATAGTTGCCGGTTACTGGCTATTTCACATAAAGCTACCTGAACGTTACTGTAACAAGTCCTTCTGGGAGGCATTAAGCACTCCTCCGCGTTGGTATAGAATAAGGGGTGGGATTCCAGGGGCGTAGGGTACGTTTAGTTCTAGTAGATGTTGCTGGTATTCCAAAATGCTTATCCCACCAGCAATGAATGACTGTTCCAGTGACTCCAAAATTCAACCATGATTGTCTATCCTATTAATTTTAGCCTATGTGGGAATGTAGTAAGATCTAACTTGTTCATAACTTCTCCAATATCTAATGATGCCGGGTACCTTTTCATATGCTTATTGGCCATTTGGAAATTATTTTTGGGGAAATGCCTGCTCAATACTGGGCCTTTTTCAATGCGTTGTGTTTTTGGATATATCGTTTTTGGATAAGAGCCCTTGTTGATCTGTAGCATTTTCTCCCAGCTGAGCCTTGCCTGAATAGCAGAACCACAACACACCAACTATTTATGGCGGTGCGATTTGGAAACCCCTGACCTACTGGACACTTCCTCTTAAGCAGCCCACTCAACGCGCAGTTAAAAATCACCTCCAGAGGAACCTACGCTGCTGCAGGAAGTGACTGGTGAATGGGGGTGGAGGGGTCCGGCCTTAGAAAGCTCATGACAGGATGTGACGGAGAACAGCGGTCCCTCGGTCCCCACATAGACTTGGACTTGGATACCTCAGAATTGCAAGAAGAACATAAAAGTTTCTTAAGTTTAAAAAACAGGCCATCCGCAAAGGGATTCAAGTCAGGATGGCATCACCTTTCTCATTGGCAATGTTGAATTCTGGAAGTGAATTCCAGCAGAGGTCTTCATCCTACAATTCCGTACCCGACTAAAATATTCATTCAGTGCACACTAGAATAGACATTTTCAGATATGCAAGGACTAAAGACATTTTATCACGAGTACCAAGGAAAAAGAGACAACCGAGACACAAGGTCCTAAATGACAGTTGTGCAGCAAGCCTAGAGGGAGCCTTGAAGACTTTTGGGAAAAGAATAGAGATGAGATCCTAGAGACCTTACGGATGTGATAAAGCCAGACAATGTAGAATGAAAAAAGAACCCTGGTTCTCTCCACTGGGGATTCCCGTCACCCTGGACACTACTCACAGAACTGCATCATGAGCCCCCAGTAATGGAGGATGAATGAATGAGATCGAGGCCCAGATAGAGGCCTCCCATCTACAGGGAGGCTGGTGAGAGGCTTCCCGCTCTAAGGGTGTCAGAAGTGGGACAAGAAGTCTCTGTACGCCTCACTTCCACGCGGGATGTCCAAGCACCAAGCCACTGCCAGCATCACCTGTCAGGCCCTTGGAAGCAGCAGGGCCAGTTGGAAAGTTCAGGTGTCCAGGAAGGAATAAGACAACACACAGCAGGTGAACTTAAAGCTTTACTGGGGATCAAGCAGGGCTGGGCATGGATGACGCTGGGTGAGCAGGGCCTGCACACCAGGCTAATACTGGACTTCAGGGCAGTGCTGGGAGCTCAGATGAGCTCTAGGGGCCAGGGGTCTGGTCGGGATGCTTGAACCAGAGCAACCACTGAAAGGAAGGTCAGTTCATTTGGCTTTAGTGCAGGAAGGACAATGTTAGGGTGGAGACGTCACTGAGCAAACTGCGTGCTATAGAGCTTTCGGACCCTCAGTAAAATGGGATTTGAGAGAGTAAAGGGACAAAATAGGTCTGGGAGGAAGTAGGAAAGTAAACGGAGAAAAGAACAAGACAGCTCGTTCTGGGGTTCAGCGACATCACACTGTTCTCCAAGGCCCAGCACAGTAATGGCTTCTCACTCCTGTGAGAAACTGCACAGGCCCTACTTGTTGCCCCACACTGCAATCTTTGTATACAAAGGACTTGGGATGAAACGACTGGACTTCATGTAGGCGGAGATCTTCTCCAGGCCCTGAGGGTAGAAAAAGAAGACCAGACCTCAGGGCCTGCTGCCTCACTGGGGATCCCGCAGCCCCACTCCAGGCACACGAGTCCAGGACTCTGGAAGCCTTCCTTGTGAGGGCAAGTATTGGGGCACATGACAGGCATCCTGGGGTCCCCAGCTCTGAAAGGCAGTGCTTCCAATTTCCTGTAACTGCTGTGATATCGCAGTACGAGCAACCACATATGAGACTCCACACTGATCTCGGTGCTTTAGATCCAGTGCAGATCTTGATACAGGTTTGGAACCTCCGCACGACTCTCTACGAGATGGTTTCTACTGTCACCATCTACAGAAGGGAAACTGAGGCATCCGGAGCTGAAACACCCTCCTCGGGCACACACAGCGATCAGTGGGAGGGCTGGCAGGACACTGGCTCTCACGCTCTCTCTCACATTCTGTGCCCCTGCTGCTGCACTCCCACACTCCTTCCTTGCACAAGAGGCCTTGATCCTCTCAGCTGGTAGTTTCCTTTTGCAGAGGGAGGCTCCTGGCTTCCCAGGGTTTATCTACACAGTAACCCCAGGCAGAACAAAGCGGCTCTGAATGTGCCTGTGCAGTTTGCAGAAGAGGCCAGACCTCACCAGTGACTCAGCAAATCCAGCATGGAAGCTGATAGGAGGATGTGCAGCAGGAAAGCCAGGCCAGGCCGGACCCTAAATACTCCAATTAAAGGAGAAAGTCCAATTGCTTGGCCTGATACCTGAGCCTAATCTCACTGGACTCCAATCTACTTCATCCCTATTCCTGCTCTAGCCACTTAGGCCTATGACACTCAAGTGTGTGTTTGCACTTTACTCCCAAGATAGAGAGTACCCAGCAAACTCTACAGGATTCAAAGATCCCAGGACTGCCTGTACCAAAGGCCCGGCCCTAACAGGCCAGAGACTGTAGCCCACAGCTATCCTCCATTGCTCTCTGCCAGACAGCCATCCCAAGACCAATCAGCCTGAACCAGAACCAGAGCTGATGAGAACTAGCTGATAAAACAGATCTCCTGATGGGGAGTGCGTAAAGGAAAGAGATTTAGACTGAACACCCGTTGGACTAATGCATCCAACTCCCAAATCTATAAAAGTCAGACTATGCCGCCTCCTGCATTGACTAAGGGGACCAATGATGAGCTGAGAGAAGAAGTCCAGGCCCTGCATCTCCAGCAGCTGGGTGGCAGCACTCCGCCAAAGAGCCTGCGACCCAGTCCCCAACTGCGCTGAGCCCCAGGAGGGCAGGCTCCAGGGCTGGGTCACCTTTGCATCCCCTCTGTGCCTGACACGTGCCTCATACGAGGGAAAGGGAATATCAGTGAACACAACTTAAAATAAATGACTACCCACCTCTGAGACAGCACCTCAGGTAACTGGAGGAAAAGGAAGAGAGGCAGGGAAGAAAAGTGCCCGTCACAGAAGACGTCAAGTAAAACCCTTTCCCGGGGCACCCTCATAAGTACACACACCACAGAACCGACACCCCAAAATCTCAGTACTGACTGCCAAAGGGATCACAAAGGCAAAGCTGTCTGGTGGTCAAGAGTTGATATTTTCAACATTTTGGTACTTATATCAATCATACTGTGTCTCAACTCTACTAACACCGCTATATAAAATCTCATGAACATTCGGCTTCATCCACACTGCCCTGAGCTGTGAAACCCAGGCTGGAGAAGCACCTGAGCTTTTCCTGTCAGTGCAGCAAAGGGGAGCCACTACTGCTGCCCGCAGAAGCCAACGCTGACTGGGAGCCCAGCACAGCCTCTACTGGCTCTGTGACCTTGAGTGAATGACTTATTTTCGGTCTCATTTCCTTACCTGTAAAATGGAGATAATATATCTCCTACCATGTTGTAAAGATTACAGTTGGCACAAGATATGTAAGATGCTGAGCACCGACCCTGGCATATAGCAAGTCCTCAATGAATGCTACTTATCCTTCATTTTCACTCCAATAGTATGAAAGCATCAAAGAAAAGAGAGAAGACAAAAGAGATCTAAATAGTAAGAAGATCAGTGGAATCACCTCTAAGCGGACCACAAAGTCCTTCAGGTTTGGGAACGCGTCCAGGTACTTGGGCTCAAATATACGGTGCAGGTCTAGGATGTCATAAGCCAGGAAATCCACATAGGTGGGCTGCAGAGAGGCAGAGAGTGAATGGGTGCCAACCTTGAACCTGGGGAAATGTCAACTCCCCCACCCCGCAGGCTCCCCCTTACCTTGTCCGCTGCAAACCAAGACCTCTTCCCCAGAAACTGTGAGAAGAGCTTCATCTTTTCGGGGAGTGCCTTCAAGTACTCAGGCTTCAGTTTCTCCTGAGGCACAAAATGGCTGTCACCACCCTCAGACACAGGCTCCCTGAGCAGAGAGGCCGGCCTCCCAGGGCTGTTCTTGATTGCCAGGTGCCATCGATGAGCAGCTATATCCCCCCAAAGTGTACCTGGGTTGGTGACCAGGCTACAACTTAATCAGACCTGCATTCATTAGATTCCCACTGGGTACCGCCTCCCATCAGTGAGAAGGAACGGGAAAGCACAGAGAAGTTCCACATTGTCCTGAACCTGGCACCACGCATCTCAAAACACTCTGCTCTGAGTCAGACCCAGGAGTGTTGTGAGACCCTGGCAGAGCCCTGGACTCAGACACGAGGCAGAATCAAAGAAGCAAAGAACAAAAGGACCTAGGGA